TTGGCGAGGACAACCGAAACTGGCTTATAAAAACACAACGATATATATTTTTAAATTTTTTATTCATTAATTAATTTTTTCGAAAACAAGGGAGATATATACACCGGTGGAAAGGAATGCATGTGGTTCCAAGTAACCCAAGATTATCAGAAACCGACACGATAGAGGCAGTGGGTGGTGTCCTGCGATATCCCTCTTTTTTGCAGATTGAATAGCACGGCAAAGAAACACGGAAGGCACAAAAGGTTGCTAAATATGACAACAGCACGCATGGTGGTACTCGATGTTTCAAATTAAGTTTAGATGTATTCGGGGGAAGCGTAAATTGTTTGCGATCCTAAATGTTTCAGGAAGTATTTTGTGAAATCTGATGTTATGCAAAACTCGCTGGCTTACATTTCGCTTTCGAGACAATTATCAACGATAACCTCGAAAGTCCAACCAGCTGTATTGAAAGAGAGAGGACCGTGTTTGAAGAATCCATGTTGCATAGTAATCTACATATGAATACTACTTTCAAAAGTTGAAAGAAATCCAATTTTAAAAGCTGTTAGCGTCATGATATTAAGGCTTTCATCCAAATTAATAAAAGTTTAAAGTAGGAATCTGCATGACTGACACCATTTTGTTATTACGTTCATAATTATTCTCAATTTCTTGGAGCTGGTTCAATGAATTTGTTTCGGGAAAAACTGAATGTTAAAAGATTATCTCGAAGAACATTTATCTGTTTAATCTATTTAGCTTGGCGTTTTCAAGTTTATGTACTCAGTAGCCTTGGGAGAAAACTAAGCTGCAATAGTAAGCGTTGTCGCAGTTCGGAGACCCGATGGGGAACCTGTGGTCAGCGTTATTCTCCTTTAAATTTTACTTTAAACCTGCATGAAGCCGTCCCCCCTCCCCCATGGAGAAACTCCTTGCGAAGGGGGTACGGCTACAAGTAGGCTGAAATTTACTCTGAAGTAAGGGTTGTTCGGATTCCTTTTTTTTTTGGTAACCGCTGGTCATTCTTTTTCCAGTTCCGTTTTTCCCCTTTCCGTCGCTTTGAATACTAAGAGAAGAAAAATAAAGACGTATCTGTCAAGTCCATGCTATTTTTTTTAGTTGTCTTCTTGGTAACCTTCGCCTCTACCAGGTCCCAATATTTTTAACAGCTGACTGACAGTTGTCACCAGTTTCTTTAATTTTGGGAGTATAAGAAATGAAACCACTTGGATTTCAAATTAATCAAGGCAATCACTCAGTTTGTCAGCTTGGCAGCCTTCTGACTTAGAGGTAATGTAACTCTGTGTTTATGGCTGGTGGTTGTACAAATGTCAGAAAAAGATTCTGTATTCATATCAAGCTTTTTCCCCTAAGGAAGCAAGCGCGTCGATTAAGTAATTGATAATTAATATAAATCTTTATAAATCTTTCGTGCATTTTCTACTAATCTTTTCAGTGCAAGACCACTCACACTTGTCACTTCTCATGATAATGATGTGATATGCTTACATCACAGCAATCGATATCGCTTGTTTATACTATACAGTTTTGTTTCAAGTAAGCAAAACAGTTTCTCATATGTAGCATCCTTGAAACTCACAGGAATAAGCGTACACATAATAAGCACAACAGCGCTTTTTGCCTTTTTTTTACGGAGGCAAACGAAGGGGGGAGGCGCGAAGGGCGAGTTGAGCGCACGTAAGAAGATGGGTGTTAAAACAACAGCGCCTGCACCTATGCCATTGTTTAGTGTTTCGCCTCCGGACCTTCATATCACTTGCTGTGATTCTACTACTCAGCGTACGGTTAACCAAGGGTATCAACGGGAGAGTAGCTCTGTCAGTTAACGATATTTTCTTTTCTTCGCGATCATGAACTGCCTGTGACTACCAGCGCCTTCAATCACAGGCGGTCCATGCTCCAGCTGGGAGATGATCATCTTGCGAAATAAGAGTCATCTTGAAATTATAAGAGTTTGTATGGGAATATTTACGTCCGTTTTTGGGAATAAAAAAATACAGTCAAATTCTCAATAAAAATACTTCACCTAATTTTCACAGTGTAGTGCTTGTTATCTGACCGCTTACTGTGTTGAAAGGAACCCATTTTAGCGAGTTATCCATTTCAAGGTTTACTACATGAGTGAAGCCCTTATGTAGTAAATATTCCCATAAAAACTTTTATAATTTTGCCATAGCTCTTATTTCGCAAGATGATAATCTTACAGCTGGATCTTGGGCTGCTTGTGCTTTAATGAAACTACCGTTCCATAGTTGATAATTCGCATGCTTTTATGACGGTTCACGGTAAAACTGCCCCTTTTGCACTGTGAACCATGAAATTATAAGCCTTTTGACAGCAAACTATGAGCTCTCTCGAGATACTTTTATCCTGATTTGCTGGTAGTTTTGTGGAAGGTCTGAACATGCTGCGGAGCTGCGAGAGGAATAAAAAGGGAGAAAATGCAATCGATAGCTTCGCCCCACCACCTCATTCTTTTTAAGGTAACACTAACACACGCATAGTTACCAGTTACGATGGTTACACTGCCCCCGCATAACATTCTTTGCTGTTAGCGTCACTCTGAGATGGAGAGCTGCGAGAAAAAGAGAGGATCCCTTCAACCTGCCCGCCGCCATCGCTCGTGTTTTCGATAAAACACACACAAAACCGCCAGCCATGAAGGCCATACTGTCCCCCGCTTAACCTGCTCTGTGAGTGGTACTATGTGGAGTCCGAGTAGCGTAGCAGCGAGAGGAATGGAGAAAAAAATTATAAAGTCCCTCGAGGCTTGACGCCAACGCCGCTTGTGTCCTGATGAAATGTACAAAAAACCGTCAGCCACGATGGTTTCGCTGCCCCCGCATAACTAACCTGCTTTGCTTATGGCATTAAGGAAGTTTGAACGAAGGGAAGCAGCAAGAGAAATGGGACACAGAAAGTCCCTCGATGCTTAGTTCACTGCCCATGCACTACCCGTATGTAACGAGCAGAAGAACAGCGAGAACAATGGTACGAGCCAAGGGCTTTGTGCTACCGCTGCTTTTGTTTTGATGACGCACACGACAAAAACTGCCAGCTACTACCTGCCCCCTCATGGAAAACACGTGCTCATAGACGCCTCTGTTTTTCGTAAGAAGCAGACTACCTATTCTTGAGAGAAAACAAGGGAGACTGAAACACTTATCATTTTACAAGAATTCGGTCACGCAAACGAAGGAAACTCTATTACCATTCAACAAGTCATAGTATTATTAGTACTATTACCATTCAACAAGTCATAGTACTACGAAATATATCATGATAGCGATGTCTGGACAGTAGAAAAACTTGATTCGAAAAAGTGCCGTGAGGCCTAATAACAGTCTAGCGGATAACATCAGGGAAAACCTAAAAATATTTCGTCCGAAGACCCCCAAGCTTCAATTTGTGTAATGATATATATATTATTAGTAATTTAACAATGGCGTTGATAGGCGGGAAACTCAGCCAGTCGTGAAATATTCAAATATTCAAAAGCTCAAACTTCACCTCGGATCGAAGCCTTCTAAAACAATAGGTTTGTCTATACGCGAAAATAATCCTTAGCTTATTCAAGTGGAGGCTTCGGTAAGACGCCAGCCCATCACTTACTAAGTTATGGCATATTTCCACTTTTACAACCTGTGGCTTGAGTATAAACAGCCCGTAGAACTCTATCACATCGATACGCCTCTACAAAAACTAGGATATTGTTTATATGTAGCACTCACTGTTTCACCAGACGCAATTTAAGCATAGTATTAATTTCCCCTTTTGAAATAAAAATAATCATATTTGATACACAGGGTCTGAGCGAAATAAGTTAAATTTTTCAATTATTTCGGGACATCCTTTTTATATGTTTTTCAATAGGAGTGCTGCGTCTAGCACGTGGCGGCGAAAACAGTAAAATTTGCTATGGTATCTTTATAGGCGCAAACAGCATTCCCGCCAAAACACATCACCATCTGCGATACACGACTCGTTTGTCACGTTTGAGACCACATGAAATTTAACGTGATATCAGTATATGTTAGTAGACGATTTGGTGTGTAGTATCGCTGAGCATTTTTACGAATTGTACCGTATTTTGAGGAGTTAACCGTATTGTACCGTATTTTGAGGAGTTGGCACTAACCGCCACAATACAAACGACGAGTCTAATAAGTTATTTATCACCCAACTGCTCCTTTTTCTGGTAATAAGTCTCTCTGCTCATTTCTCACAAGGTGAGAATAGCAAAGCGGATAGAGACGCGTAGCGCGCGCAGCCGACTAGTAAACAGGTTTTTTTACAGTACCGATAACCAAATGTCCAAATAACCGTCGAATATCACAGATGGTTGTACTCTATTGGCGCGTTATTTGTACTCTACTTTGTGCATTTGAATAATAAACCTCAATACTTTCCTCTTGACCTTACGACGACGTCTAAATATGTAAAATTTTAACAGCCTCTGACAAGGTCGGAAGAATTTTAATTTATGTATTTCCGACGTTGAGGTAGCTGTTAAGTAATTGTGTTAGTTGCTATCTTAGAATTTCCTTTCATACTCGTAAAGTCGTTGCATCTTACTGTTGGTAATAATAC